AAGGCGTGAAAAGTAGAGACACGGGGAAACGTTGTTGACGGAAAAATCAGCAATGCCGATTCAACTCCCGAGGGAACCGCACAAAGGGTGCTAACAGAATGATTCTGAAAATGTTTTGTTGAAAAAGAGAATAATAATATCGGCAAAGGACAAGTGCCGACCAAAAGTGTTTCTTTACAGCATTTTAACTGGTAATGTAACCTCGAAAATATACATGTGTTATTACTTTAAAGTAATAATTTATATCTTGCATAAGCGTATGAAAAATGGTTCCCATGTCTGGTAACGCTTTGAAATTAAAATAATTACAATTTATGATATAAACCTAAACAATTGTACAGCTCTAGTGTTATATAACACCAGCATGACTGGCACTTGTTGAGAACTAAAGAAATAAACGCCGTGTGATGGTACATTAACTGTCACTATCTTTCTGACTCATTCTCTCCCGCCCTCTTTCTCTTACACCCTCGCGCCTTCTCAAACTCTCTCTCTCTCTCTCTCTCTCTCTCTCTCTCTCTCTCACTCTCACTCTCTCCCTCCCTCCCTCTCTTTCTCTTTCTCTTTCTCTCTCTCTCCCTCCTTCTCACCCTAATTGTCTCTATTTTACACTTACTCTTTCTCTCTTCTCTCCCCACCCTTCATCTTTCTCCCTTTCACTCACTCTCTCTCTCTCCCTCTCCCAACTCACACTAATTCTCTCTCTTTTACACTTACTCTTTCTCTCTTCTCTCCCCACCCTTCATCTTTCTCCCTTTCACTCACTCTCTCTCTCTCCCTCTCCCAACTCACACTAATTCTCTCTCTTTTACACTTACTCTTTCTCTCTTCTCCCGGTGCACATTAAAAAGTTAGTGTCAGGAGCGGAATTCGAACCCACGACCTTCGACTCAATACGCCGCTGCTCTAACCACTTGAGTTATCGCCACGATTGAGCCGAAGGTCGTGGGTTCGAATCCCGCTCGTGACACTAACTTTTTCTTCACTACCAATACATAACAAAAATATTAATTAATTGAATGAAGTTGTTTGGTCAATCGGACCACGAAATAAAATGGATTTAATTAAAACAATTAGTATTATGGCCATTGCCGTTTAATCATCACTACAAACTTTTCTTTTTAACGGCAGTCATTTTTCAATTAATTTTCCATCTAATCGTTCCCCAGACGCCCACAAAAAACAAACGCTGAAGTGCATGTGACTATGTCGTTCATCAAGCGTTTATATTTATGTTACAAAACGATTTTATACGTATAATGAAAGTCCGTTAAATGAAAATTAAAATAGTGTATGAGATTGCTATTGTGGATAAATCCTAACGAACTTATCGCTCTATTTTTCACAAAATTGGCTATTGAATAAATATGAAACCGTAATTAACCGAAATAAAAATCAGCCTGGTCCAAGATTCGTGAAAAATAAATATATATTTTAGGTCAGTTTTTATAGCTTTTATGGTTTAAGATCTATATTTTAATGAATGCACTATTTTTCGTGGTCCGCTAGGCCAATTAATATCATTCAATTAATTAAGGTTTTAAGTTGAGATAATGAACTTTGTTGAAGTTGAAAATGACAAAAAGGAGGGAAAATACAAAGGGTGGGGTTGAGATGGTAAGTTAGTGCCCGAGGGGATCGAAGTGACGATAGCTCAAGTGGTCGAGTAGCGGTGTATCAAGCCGAAGATCGTGGGTTCGAATCCCGCTAGTGACACTTATCTCAACTTAAAACCTTAATTAATTTTAATGAATATAACCTTTATTTTTTCTAACCGTGATTACAGATAAAGAATAGATTTTTTTGATGCACAGTATATACACAGTTATAAACATTAGAACCTAGTGCTGTTAATTAACTGTATTGTATAATAATAACAAAAATGAATAATATGAATTAAAATAATAAATATATTAAAACCATTAGATTTCGTGGTCCGATTGACAAAATAACTTCTTTAAATTAATTAACCTTTTTGTAAGGTATTGGTTCAGATAAAGAAGTCAATGTCATGAGCGGGATTCGAACCCACGACCTTCGGCTAGATACGCCGCTGCTCTACCACTTGAGCTGAGTTGAGAAAAAGGAGGGAAAATTTGAAAGGTGGGGTTGAGATGGGAAGTTGGTGTCCGAGTGGATCGATGTGACGATAGCTCAAGTGGTAGAGAAGCGGTGTATCCAGCCGAAGATCGTGGGTTCGAATCCCGCTAGTGACACTTATCTCAACTTAAAACATTAATTAATTTTAATGAATATAACCTTTATTTTTTCTAACCGTGATTACAGATAAAGAATAGATTTTTTCCTGGATGCACAGTAGAAAGGAAACTTAAAAATATGAAGGTTTCAGAAAAACGTTTTCTTTATCGTGCCAACGTTTCGATGTTTATTGAGATCATCTTCAGGGCTCAAAGTGTTTGTCTTCTATGTGATTGTGCTATCTTGCGTGTCGTGTTGAGAGTGCCCACGATTCAACACGACACGCAAGAATGGCACAATCACATAGAAGACAAAGACTTTGAGCCCTGAAGATGATCTCAATAAAGATCGAAACGTTGGCACGATAAAGAAAATGTTTTTCTGAAACCTACATCACACCAGACCGTATCTCACGATTTCTGAATAATTATCGATTAACGGTCACTAATCACCACACATAAAAATATGTTGTGATTCCCATACGTCAATCCTATAGTCCATTAGTCAAATTTTTGTCTATAAAGAAGTACGGATGAACTACAAAATACTACACCGAATTTCACGACGCTATAACCCTTTGATTTCAAATCTTGCTTTTATTAACTTTTTTAATTATTAGTTAAATTCTTTTCATCTAGTGAAAATGTTTACAATAAACAAAATTAATCGAAATTTTGAAAAGATTTTTCCACTATAAATGTATGTTATTAGAGGAGAGGGTAAATTGGGGCTGTGAAGAAAGTTAATAACGTACAATACGCCCAATCAGGACTCTCGCATCATTTAATCACGAAGGAGTTGATACCCGTCAAAAGGGTGAGGATCCTGAAAGTACCAATGAATACCGGGAATCAAACTTTATTGAGATAAATTTGAAATGTTTAAACATAAATCAAAAGGGCCCAGCTGACGCGAAACACTTTTCAACTTTTCTCCCCCATCAACGCAAACCCAAGGGTACGGGGCATAAAAGCTATTAACCCCAGTGAACTGTAACGGAACTGTCAATTACGGTTTCTACGATTGACATCCAACGACATACGATAATTCTTCGATTTTGTACTTCTTTCCCATTTTATTTCTGGCTTAACCTTTCTTGAACTAGATATCATTTACTTTAATACACGGAAATCAATAATAAAATTATATTATTTATAAACATTAGAACCTAGTGCTGTTAATTAACTGTATTGTATAATAATAACAAAAATGAATAATATGAATTAAAATAATAAATATATTAAAACCGTTAGATTTCGTGGTCCGATTGACAAAATAACTTCTTTAAATTAATTAACCTTTATGTAAGGTATTGGTTCAGATAAAGAAGTCAATGTCACGAACGGGAATCGAACCCACGACCTTCGGCTAAACACGCCGCTGCTCCACCACTTCAGCTGAGTTGAGAAAAAGGAGGGAAAATTTGAAAGGTGGGTTTGATATGGGAAGTTGGTGTCCGAGTGAATCGAAGTCACGATAGCTAAAGTGGTAGTGCAGCGGCGTATTTAACCGAAGGTCGAGGGTTCGAATCCCGCTCGTGACACTGACTTTTTATCTCAACCAATACCTTTCATAAATATTAATTAATTGAAAAATATAGTATAACATATACAACAGTCATTACATTCCTCACATCAAACATTTCTACATAGTCTAATTCTTCAACAATTTGGCTTTCCTTTCCCCTAATTATCCCCAACTATATAAACCTAAAAACATAATCAGGCCGAACTACTACCTATCCTTTCTTTAAAAGAAGCCGACTCCTCACATAAAAATGTCTTTCTAACCCATAAAACAGCAATATCTCACTGGCAGCCTCAACACGACACACAATAATGACACATCTACACAGAAAACAAACGCTCTGAGTGAGTACAAATACTTTGATTGAGTCTAAAATTTCTAGCATTGTGTGAATTCACATTTTTTCACATCTACATGTATTTGTATAATTTAAGCCATGTTCATTAATCCCAGGCTCCGAAGATGATCTCAATAAAATTAAAACTTTGGCACTATAAAGAAAATGTTTTCTAAAACCTACGTCACACCTGACCGCATCTCACGATCTCCAAAAATCATCAACTAACGGTCACTAAACACCACACATAAAAAATTATTCGGCTGATATAAAACGAATGTACATTTCATTCCTAGCCTATTGCAACAGTGGAAGGAACCGTTCGCAAACTCAAACGTACTTTTATTGAAAAACGAAAAGTGTTTAATGGTATAGTAAAAGCAGTGTTGTTCTAAGCTGCCCAAGACCGGGTGTATACTGAAGTGTCGATCGTTGAGACTGTTTTGCATATGCTGATACAAAAGTTGTTTTACCTACCAAGTTCCAACCAACATAACCGAAGGTCGTGGGTTCGAATCCCGCTTGGAACACTGGCTTTTTTATTTCAACCAATATCTTACATAAAGATTAATTAATTAAAAGAAGTATTTGGTCATTCGGACCACTAAGTATAATGGATTTAGTAAGTAAACCGAAGTATAACTTCACTGAGAGCTCTCCGTGGCCACTTATATGTCGCCGAGAATCGAATCCTGATTACACGACATTTGAAAAATGGCAAAAAGGAGAAAAAATTCGAAAGGTGAGGTTGAGATGGGAAGTTGGTGTCCGAGTTGATAGAAGTCACAATAGCTCAAGTGGTAGAGCAGCGGCGTACCTAGCCCAAGATCGTGGGTTCGAATTCCGCTCGTGTCACTGGCTTTTTTATCTCAACCAATGCCTTACATAAATATAATTTTTATATGTAATTAATCTTATTACTGTTGTTTTGTTTCAGGTCTTTGTCAGAATCGTGTTAACTGCAGAAAACAACATTTGATAAATTTGACCATTAGAACGTAAAAGTAAGTAAGTTACTTACACACAAACGTACAATAATTTTATATTTTATTTAAAAAAATTAAAATGTGAGAAAATATTGAACTTACGGTATGAACTTGCAGTATGAAATGATTTAGCCGATTTCTAATTTATATAAGTTTAAAGCAGCAAGTGTATATACATTATACCCAAGTATACAGTGAGCCTATCACTTATTGCAGTCCACCGGCAAACCAGCTTTTGTAATTTGGAACGAATTACCAGCTGACTTCGAGAATCACTCATGGATATCGGCAGGTCGTGGGCAGACCTCAAAACCAACCTTCCAGAAATCAAAAGCTAGCTGTTCAACCTAATGTAAATTCGATGGAATGATTACTCCGCCATCGGTCCTCTCACAGTACACAATCACGCCAATAAATACGTTCACTCTCAACACATGTTGTGGACACAACACTATTGTAACTATATACAATAAAAAAAACCTGTTTTCTACAGGAATTGGAAAAGGGACCATTCTAACTCGCTTTCTATATATACCCAAGGAATTGAATCCTTCAATTACCTAAGAGACATGTAACAACCGTTCTCTAGATGTGGGCTTTGACCCTAAAGTAAGTATCCGTGTTACAAACTTGCATAGCCTATACTTAATCGGATGAGGACTTTTTCTACTCGTGAAGTACTACTCTTTAGGTCTTAGGTCACCTTGTTTTAATCCTGTATTTTATTTAATTTTTCCAGTCACTGTGCCGGGTCACGTAAAGTAGGAAGGTTGGGCAACGTCTGACTTTTAAAATTATTTACATTTTTGTTATAATAACATTATTATCATCAGTAATAACTGAAATTTAAATTCTAAATTTTATAAATATTTTTATAAAACTTTATTTGATAACAACAATCAAATTTTACCCACTGTAATATTCAAAATTAAGAAAAATATCCATTGAACGTAAAAGTGTAATAGAACTTTTACGAAGATTTACGATTAATTCTATTTATTTACAGTTAATAAACAAATGTTCATTAATAGCATGTAAATAAATATGTAAACTATTTATAGATATCTGTATTTTTAAAAAAGAATATAATGTAGATTCACGTCTATAAACGTACGGTTTTTTTCATTTATTTTGTAACAGTTTCAGTCATCTGGAATTGTCGAAATTGCTTCATCAAACATCAGCAATAAGCAATAAATCCGACTTAAGGAATATCAGTTTGGTTGAGATGCCACTCCATCTGAAAAACTGTACTCAAGTCGCCATCTTCGAAAAAAAAAAATGTTCTTTCTTATCTTAGAATATGGATCTATGCTTACGTATAGAATAGAATAAAGGAAGAGACGGATAAGCTGATATCAGATGGATGAACAAACGTTGAAAATGTTCGCGGGTAATTTATGCAGTTTCCTTTATATCTGAACAAGAAAGAAACAACAACCGAAAATAATCGCCAATCGTTAATTCAGCCGGATCAAGATCCGCTTGATATAGTGGATATGTATTAAAAATTTATGAGCAAGGGTTGTTTACGTCGGTATATCTTCTACGCACGATTAACTTCTGAAATGCAGTGAAATGGTATTTTATGTATTTTTTTTAACAACCTGAACTGAATTTTTTCTATCTTTACCTAGTGCATGCTCGGGGTAGATTATAAATGTATATGGTTTTACCTTTTGAACATGAAAAAATGTTTACAGCTTAAGATCATCTCAATGTAGTAAAAACAGCATGTGCGCTGAAAATGTATGAAAAAATATGTTTATACCTTTACCTAGTGCATGCTCGAGGTAGGTTATAAATGGTTTTACCTATTGAACACGAAAAAATGTTTACAGCTTAATACTCAATTAATTATACACAATTTTTTCGAAATGAAAAATTTGTGTCACTCGCGGGATTCGAACCCACGACTTTCGGCTTCATTTCGAAAAAATTGTGTATAATTAATTGAGTATTTATATATTTAATAGAAGCTGATAAAATAATTAAAAATTTAGTATTTACAGCTTAAGATCATCTCAATGTAGCAAAAACATCATGTGCGCTGCAAATGTATGAAAAAATATGTTTATAATTTTTCTTATCTCCTCGATGGACCTTATCTATCTACATGGAATACTTTGTATGTTATATTGTGCTCTTTAAGAGTTATTGTATCTCCCATTCTGTGCTTTTAGCACATCGGTGTGTCATGAAGGAACATCGTTTATAGGCCTGGGTTCAGTGGTTGAATTATACGGCCTGAAACACTTCTTCCTGCGGACAAGCGTAGTAACAGTTTGTTAGTAGAGGCGTTGGTGTTTCTTCTGCTTATTTGCAGAATCTGCACTTGCCGTGTTGGGTTATGCCAATCTTCTTCAGAGGTCCATTTAGTGTCCTGTTGAGAATGCTGTTAGGATTCGCAGTTTTTCATGCTTCCGTTAATGCATTCAGTTACCCCTATCCTTTCAACATTTGTTAAGAGGTTTATGGATTGCTTGTGTCCAATGAATGCGATCAATTGTTCCATTATTTGCTTTTTATCGTTCTGTCGGTGTTCATTGACGGTGTGGTTTCCTAAGCCACTGCTCGGGGTCTTCCTGCGGTCTTGCAACAGCGTCCGTTTTCTCGTTGCTTTCCACATGTCCTGGGACCCAGCAGAGGGTGATATTATTTTGCATACCTCCAACTACTAATAATTAATATTTAACAAAATTTTATGACAGAACTACTTAGAAAAAAGCAGAATATGGCAGTGAGAAATTTTGTATCGGGTAAAAAACACATGTAATCAATTAAATGATAGTCAAGATAATACAATATTCAATTAATTAATATTTTTATCTAAGGTTTTGGTCGAAATGAAAAGTTATTGCCATGAGCAGGATTCGAACCCACGACATTCCGCTAATTCCGCCGCTACTCTAACACTTGAGCTATCGTGACTTCGATCCACTCGGACACCCATCTGAACCTAGAAGCTTTCAAATTTTCCCTCATTTTTGCCATTTTTCAAATGTCGTGTAATCAGGATTCAATTATCGGCGACATATAAGTAGCTACGGGGAGCTGTCACTGAAGTTATACTCTATTGACCAAATTACTTCTTTCAATTAATTAAATCTTTTTATGTAAGGTTTTTGTCGAAATTCGAATCCCGCTCGTGGCACTAACTTTTTCATTTCGACCAAAACTTTACATAAAAATATTCATTCAAAGGTTATATTTTATTATAAGCTGTTTCCTGAGAACAAAAGGGAAAATTTCATTAAATAATATACGAGTTTAGTCGTTTTCTTCAGTGACAACTCAAGACCTATTTCCTCTGTTGGGGCAAAAACAGTCGTACTTAGCGAAATGGTCGCAACATCAAGCATCATATTTTCCAGACAATGTGACTTTAGAGAGTAACATTAGATTGTCAAGGAAGACAAGTAAAAAAATTACCCATCTTCATCCAAAATATTTAATATTTTTTGTTACTTTTGTAGTTAAAACATATGGTTTTATTTTAATTATGAACAACAAGTTAACGTCCAGAAGATTGTTATAAAAACAAATGTCATGTAACAAAAACATAAATTTTTGCTGATTTTTTAAATTTATTTCAAAAGTTAAATTTTCAATTTAAAAAATCCATTTATTGAGTTCATCGCTTAATTATATGATAAACATTGCTATCGTGACCTCGATCCCCTCGGACACTAACTTCCCATCTCATAGCTCAAGTGGTAGAGCAGCGGCGTATCTAGCCGAAGATCGTGGGTTCGAATCCCGCTCGTGCCATTGACTTTTTTATCTCAACTAAAAACCTTAATTATTTGTAATGTATTACTTGGTCAAGCGGACCACGAAATTAGTGAATTTAACTTCTTTTTATATTCAATTTACTAATGCTAACGATTTTGGCCCAATTAATTTAAAAATCGAATAAAATCTTCCAAATATTTTATTTAATTATTTTATCGGTGTGACCACAGTAGCAACAGCAATAAAACATAAATGAACGTTCTCTAAAAATGCTTCCTTCCTAAATATTAAGCTTACTTATTTTATGAATAGTTTCATAAAAAAAGAACAAATTTTAAAGACAGAATTAACTTAAGTAGTAACAGAATGAGGCCGAAAAACAAATAATAGAAAACTTAAGTATGTTTCCCTACTCAGAGGTCCATTGAGCACGACATAAAATAGATATTTCATGGTAGATTTCCGTCACTTCATTACTTGGTAGTTGTATGAAGTTTAAGTGCAATTATCATGTTTAAGGCTTACTTTGTAAAGTTGCTATTTATGCAATTTATGAGTTTTTTTGATAATCATTGTTACCTTTAAGCACTCATGCATAATGCTAAACCACCATGACTGTCAGTCCGTGCATAACTAATGCATTGGGTGTTAAATTTAACATTTCACGTTTGCATTCGAATTAATTCACTTTTCACTTCCGTTTCACTTATATATTCTCTTTCAATCTTTCTCTTTATTTATTCTTTATCTCGCACTCTCCATTTTTCTTCCTTGCCCTCTCACTCTCTCTCTCTCTCTCTCTCACTCTCTCTCTCTCTATCTATCTATCTATCTCTATCTCTCTTTCTGCCTGTCTGTCTGTTTATCTGTCTTTCTTTCTATCTATCTGTCTGACTCTGCTTCCCTCCCTCATTCTCTCTTTTTCTGCCTGTCTGTCTGTTTATCTGTCTTTCTTTCTTTCTATCTATCTATCTGACTCTCCCTCCCTCCTTTTCACTCACTCTCTCTCTCTCTCTCTCTCTCTCTCTCTTTCCCTCCCTCTCTCTCTCTCTCCCTCTCCCTTTTCCCCATTCTCTCCCTTAATTTATCACTATATTTCTCACCTCATATTTTTCTCTAGCTTCTCCTGTCTACCTGTCTTTCATTTTCTCTTATTCTACTCTCTCTTTATTTCTTCTTCCTTTTTATCTGCATATCATTTTACCGAGTTTTAGGATAAATTATACATTTACATACAATAGATCATATATTGTACATATGCAAACATAATATCAGTAAAAATT